CAGAGTTAGCAGCCAGGCCTGGAAGCGGCACCCATCAACTCAACTTTACATTGGTTAAAAGCCAGCCACATATTCTACTTAACTGCAAGGGGGATTGAGAAATATGAGTTGTCCCATGTGCCCAGGAAGAGGAACTGGGATTGCTAAGCATCTGGCTATTCTCTGCTACAACACATGAAGTATTTCACACAGTGCTTGATAGGTCATAAAAACTCAATAAATAATAATAGAAGGTATGGCCCAGTGTGGTGGCTCACACTTGTAATCCTGGCACTTTGGGAGGCTGAGACAGGAGGATTGTTTGAGCGTAGGAGTTCCAGACCAGCCTGGGCAACATGGTAACACCTCATCTCTACCAAAACAAAACAAAAGAATTACCTGGGCATGGTGGCCTGCACCTGTAGTCCCAGCTACTCAGGAGGCTGAGGTGGGAAGATCGCTTGAGCCTGGGAGGTAGAGGCTGCAGTGAGCCAAGATCAATCCACTGCACTCCAGCCTGGGTGACAGAGTGAAACCTTGTCTCAAAATAAATAAATAAATAAATAAATAAAAATTAAAAAAGAGAATATCCTTTAATGATTGCTTCCTATCATATGTCTCTCTACTTGCATGAATACCAGAATGCACAGAACTTTAGGGTAGACTTTTCAGAACACTGAATACAAAACAAAATAAACATGTGGGTTCCGTGTTTCTTTTTCTTCCTTTTCAAGTATAGTAATCACATGCCTGACATAACTCCTATTCTGGGTGCTCTCCATGAGGCAGCAGGATACATTGGAATAGCCTGCATTCAAATCCTGGCTCTGCCCTGAGCAAGGTATTAACCTGTGTTAGCCACTGTGGTTTTCTCATCTTAAAACAAGAATGCCAGTTTACCCACTTTCCAGGGTTCTTAAAAAGGGCCATATTCCCTCATCTCCAAGTAAACACTTCCTTCTGTCTGGAATACCCTCCCTATCCACTCTTCATTAGCTACCTCCTATTCCTCCCTCAAGTCTTCACTTAGATGCCACCTCCTTCAGGAAGCTTTCCTTATCTGTTTATCCCAAGTGTGGCTGAGTGCCCGTGTCTTTTGTCCCCACATCAGACTGTACTTGCCTTCCCAGAGCACTTACCACTGTGTATCAAAATCTCTGTTCACTTTCTGTCTCTAGCCAGATTGCTTCTTGGGGGAAGGGACCTAGTTGTGATCACCATTTTATTCCTAGCATCAGGACAGCATCTGGCCCACAACGAGTATCCAGTAAATATTGTCATATGAACAAATTAAAAATTTTGATTCTCCTTCAAAATGGTAATGTGTAAGACTCTCATACATCAACAAAAAATAAAAGTAAAGACAAGTTCAGGAACTGGCCGGGTGCGTTGGCTGTAATCCCAGCACTTTGGGAGGCTGAGGCAGGCGGATCATTTGAAGTCAGGAGTTCGAGACCAGCCTGGCCAACATGGTGAAACACCGTATCTACTAAAAATACAAAAATGTCGCCAGGCGTGGTGGTGGGTGCCTGTAATCCCAGCTACTTGGAAGGCTGAGGCATGAGAATCACTTGAACCTGAGAGGTGGAGGTTGCAGTGAGCCAAGATTGTGCTGCTGCACTCCAGCCTGGGCAACAGAGAGAGACCTTGCCTACAAAAAAAAAAGTTCAGGAAGAAACATCACAGTGTCTTTCTCTTTTAAAAGGTCAGGGAGAACTAAGTAGTTGTTTCAGAAGGCAGCCACACCCCTTGGGTCATGACAGGGTACTCCTGAGCAATTTACCATCTTATTTCTCACTTGAGCAACAGAGAATATAAAAAAACATCTTCACACGTTAAAAAAGCTGGGGCTTGCCCTCTCCACTCATCTGGGGATGTGGCAACAAGAGCTGTCTCCTGAGGGCGGCCCTGGCTGATCATGTGTCCTGGCAGGCCTGCAGATACCACTCTCCCCCATCTGTGTAGCTGAGGCACCCCTGCCTTCGCTGACTATCATCAAGAGTGAGGTCTTTCTAGTCCCAGTGTAGACTCTTAGATGCAGGATGGGATCTCCCAGCTCCCACCCCCGGCCAACCTGGCACACTCTCAGTCCAGGCCACTGGGCAGAGAGATTTCCACTCTGAAAATATTGAAATAGGGTGGAAATTATATCTCCACAAACCATGGGGATAATGCCTCACTAATTCCTAGACCACGCACAGTTCTGGTGTCATACACCTAAGTTTGGGGCCCTTTCTCAAAAGCTGCAGTGAATAAGGCCCTCCATGTGGGCACTGGGCACTGCCAGGGAAACTTCCCAGGAGCAGGTGATAGTTACAGAAGGCAGTCAAATGCCTAGGCAGATAGGGCGAATCCCTGGTGAAACCCCACCTCCAAGTTGAAGACAATTTAAAACCTGAAAGTCAAGCTACAAGTTAAATCTTCGGACCAGATTGAGAACCTGTCTTCCCATGTGGCACATGTTTCTCTGACTGATCCCCACCCTTCACCTATTTTACATACACCTACCCTTTCCTAACTGGTTTTCTACACTGTTGTGCTTACCTTTGAGTGGTGTCTTCACTTTAACCTTTTTTGCATACTCACAAACCAATCAGCATGCACTCCCTATTCTCAGTCCAGAAAAAACCCTGGACCCAGCCACAATGAGAAAAAAAAAAACACCCAACTGTGAGGGTGGGGAACCACCCCCCTCCCCATCTCCTCTCTGCTGAGAGCTGGTCCATCACTCAATAAAATTATTCTCTGCCCATCCTCACCTTTCAACTGTCAGCGAATCCTCATTCCTCTTGAACACAGGACAAGAGCTCAGAAACAAGAACTACCAAATGAAGGTACAAACTACAATACAGGCAGGGTGGGGTGTGGCCGTGTGGGTGGGGCATCAGACCTGGAGGGGGGCATTGCTGGTCAGAAATGTCCTGAGTCCCTCTTCTTTGGTTTCTCTGAGAAAAAGGGCAGAGTTCCAGGGATGCACACACAGTCCCAAGCACGCATATGCACTTGACAAACAGACTCACAGACACGTGCTCCACACCACAATGAAATCCAAATCCACAGACTGGCCACTGCAAATCATATGACTGCAAGTGCATGCACACACACTCTTTGAAGCAGGGGTCAGCCTCCAAGAAAAAGTGATGGACAGTCTGTCTCCCATATCCTCACATCTTTGGTTCACCTGGAGATGGCCTCAGATGAGCCAAGTGACACAGAGGTATGAGAGACTGAGGATGGGCTGAGGCGTTACCCAGCACTCCAGTAGTGCTATTACCCAACACAAAAATTGGTCTGAATATCAGATTTCAAGCGAGCGAGGGAAACCCAAAAGAGGCTGGGAGAAGTCCTTATGGAGGCTAAAGCAACTCCATGTTGGATGCTAATCCACAGTTTTGGCCATGTTGGCTTCTTAGTCTCCCAGAAGGCCTCTGAGATTCCCAGCTTATCAAGTGCTCCTTGTGTAAGTGCAAGCACTTACTGTAAATCTGGCCCTGAGGTCAAATAACTTTGATGTTACCATACTTCAACTGTCCTACACATCTTTTCTGAATCACCCTTCCCCTATGGTCTGTTTGCCCTGGGCCTGGGAGTGAAGCGTGGAGACACAAACGTGGCTTCTGTTTATGTCCTTACAAAATGTTTTTTTCCTAAGGAACTGGATGTGTCAGTTCCTGCAAAAGGGTCTGGCTGCTTGCTGCTTGTAGAAAGAATGGATAATAAAGGAAAATCTGCTAGCTGCCATGCTAGCAGGGGAAGAGCAGCAAACAATTCCACTCTTCAATTCACGGGGGGAGCACAGGGGTTTTTTAAGAAAGGATCTGAAATGTAGAAAAGGCAAGGGTGAGGTTAGGAGGTGCCAGGTAGCATGACTTGTTCGGGTGGTCCTCTTTAATTATGGTCTTAATTGGTGGAGGGGCTGGTGCAATCGTGGATCCTGCCAGGTTATAAATTAGTTACTCTTTAGGAGGGTGTAGGTTCAATTCCGGAAGTAAGCTTTTGCTGGAGAGAGAATTCCGGAGATGCCTTGTCCCTATCAGGATGCATCTCCTGAGGCATCTAAGGAAATATATGACCAGAAAAGAGCATAGCGTGTGCCTAACAAGCACGTAGGTAAATAACCGTGCATAAGGCACAGGAGTACAGTATGGGACAGGAAAGGGAGTGGATGTTCACAGCACATCCTGAGGCTGTATTTTAAGATGAGAGGTAACATACACACAGTTTATCTCAAAGTGATATCTTGAGGCCCAGGAGGGGAGAGAAAAAAGGAAAGAAGAAAAACTAAGTTTAAAACACGGTTTAAGGCCAGGCACGGTGGCTAACGCCTGTAATCCCAGCACTTTGGGGGGCCGAGGCGGGTGGATCACCTGAGGTCAGGAGTTCGAGACCAGCCTGGCCAACATGGTGAAATCCCGTCTCTACTAAAAATACAAAAATTAGCCCAGGCGTGGTGGCGCATGCCTGTAATCCCAGCTATTCCGAAGGCTGACGCAGGAGAATCGCTTGAACCTGGGAGGCGAAGGTTGCAGTGAGCCGAGATTGTGCCACTGCATTCCACCTTGGGCAACAACAGAGCGAGACTCTGTCTAAAAAAAAAAAAAATCGCGGTTTGAGGCTCAGCTATTAAGCTGCTGGTTAAAAGCCTCTTTCTTGGGCCTCTCAGTTTCCTGGGACTTTGGGGGCAGGTCTGCATAAACTGCTTAGTCGTAGACCCCCCTCCAACAATTAAGTAGGTGACTACGCAGTACTCATTCATCGGTGTCCTCAGACCCCCACACGGAGGCCCTGGGGCAACGCCAAGACCCAAAGCCCCGTCCTGGCGCCCTTGCCCTCAAGCGCCTGCAACTACCTCCTCTCCATTTGGAGCTGCCGCAGCCACATCTTCAACGCCAAGCCGTGGCACGCCCAGCAAAAGCGGGTCGGACGCCCTCACCCGACCTTCTGCACTCAGGTGCGAGGCTGTGCCTGGCCACCTGCCCCCCAACACTTGCACACACACACACACACACGCACGCACGCACGCACGCACGGCCTGCAGGGCTACCTGGACCACTTTGACCCGAAGGCACTGGAGGCCCAGGGGCAAGGGAAAGGAGGGGTGGCCGGAGCCCGCTTCCGCCCCGGGACAGTCTCGGGTTTGCCCCAGGCGGGCTCCCTGTGGGACGTGGTTCCCCATTCACGGCCTCGGGGGCGGGGCGTCTGTAGGCAACGCCCCGCAGACGTCAGCCCGGCTGGGCGCGGGCGGAGAGGACGGCGCAGCTGTCAGTCCCAGCCTAAGGGTCGCTGGAGGCGCGCAGGCCGGCTCGGCTCCGGCCCCGGACGATGCGGCGTGCCCAGGATGCTCCCGCGCCTCGTAGTGCTGCTGGCGGCGTTCCTCAGTCGCCGTCTTGGCTCAGACGCTCATGGTAAGGCTCTGGGACGCGGCCTTTCCCTGCCCTGCCCTCTCCGCGCCCGCTCCGTTAAAGTTCTCCATCCAGTGGAGAGCCCTGGCTGGCTGGCCCTCTGGGGAGACGGGTGCCGGGCCGGGCTCCCTTACTCTGGCAAACCTGAATCTCAGGCTTACCTGTTGTGGAAGTGGAAGAGGCTGAGGCTGACAGGAACTGACGGATTGGGAAGGATAGAGAAGTATGTGCAAGGCCAAACCCTCACCCCGCAAACCTCATCATCCACCCACTTCTCCATGACACTTAAGTTTAGATCTAGGTTTTTTGCTGTTTAGGTTCAAATGACGGGACTTCTTGTCCCCTTGGGGAATAATTTTGATCTTCTGACTCTCCCTTCTCGTAGTCCTTCAACTAACCGCTTTCTGTCCTCCTCCCATCTCACCTTCATCCCTCCCTGATCTCCCCGATCTGATCCCCCGTGCTCCACCTGTAGCCCCCAACTCACTCCCGCTGCCACCTGCCTCCCTCTTCCCTTAGTTCAGGCTCCTAACCCAGGCAGTTCTCTGGCAAAGTTTCTGCCACTAAGAAAAGTAAACCCCAGAGAGAGAATGAGAGAGCCCGGAGTTGGAGGGACCAAGAGCAGAGACAGAGAGCAATGACCGAAACTGCTTCTTCATGACACCAAAATACAAAGTAAAAGATGCAGTCAGCCATTCACGTGATCGAGAGCTGAGTCGGGGACGTGCAGCCCAAACACCACAAAGACTCCCTGCGTTTTTCACTTTCCGTCTAATGTTTCGAAATCAAGGCACTGACGCGAAGATCAAAGACGGTATAAGAAAGAAAGCAAGAGACAGATGACAGCATCCCCGAAAAAATAAATAAAAAACAGGTGCATGATTAGAGAGATGTCGAGAAGTTAGAAAACTAGGGAGCGGAGCAGAGTCGCTGTCAAATGGAGAGAACTTAGGGGTCAAGGAGGAGAGAAGGGGAATCAACCAGCCATTGGCCTTGCACATACTTCAGTCTGCTTGATCAGCAAGACTCTTAAAGTAGAAATGTTTGTTGTATTCTTACAAAGAAGACAATGGGTTCAGCAGTGTTTCCCATGGTGAATGGTGTGTACTAGGGGTAAAGGGAGAGTGGAGCTAGGAATTGGTATTGAGTATCTTGCCTGGGAGCTACGGGTGCCAGCTCTTGTGGGGATGTCCTCAGTCATGTGTAGAGCCAGAGCTGACTTATTCCATCTGTCCTTGCCCAGCCAGGGCTTGGGCATCTGGCTACAGGCAAAGCCCTTCTAGAAACTAGGGAATGAGGCAAGCACTTAGCTTGGGGAGCCCAGGAGACCTGTGAAGAGAAGCAGGCAGATGTCAGCAAGCGGGCTGTCTGTGTACTTAATGAGATGGCTTTGAGCTGGAGCCTGGGCCAAGCCAAGTTGGGGACCAGGTGTGGGGATGGGGTCAAGCCTAGGAGTAGTGCTAGAGCAGAGACAGGGATTGGGCAGAGCCAGCGACTAACACATCTGAGAGCTTATTGCCAGCTTGCTTAGCCCTCGGCCCCTGCCTTCTTCCCTGGGAGGCATCAGACTCAGCTTGGCTGTTCTCAGCCACCACTGCAGCTTCTGATCACAGACAGCACAGGATAGTGATTTAGGGAGACACATTAGCTCTAGAATCAGATATATCTGGATTCATATGCCCACTCTGCCCCTTACTGGCTCTACTGGCCTCGGGTGAGTCACAACCTCTCTGAACCTGCCTTTCTTCTTTGATAAAATTGGGGTCATCCATGCCTGCTGTGTAGGGCTACTGTGCTAATTAAATGGAACATATGTAAAGTACTTAGCCCAGCACTCAGCTCATAGTAAAGCACTCAAGAAATGGTAGCTGTTATATTGCTCGCCACCATCCCCAGCCTCCTCCTCATCCTTGGGGGGTGGGTCCTCCCAGCTGTGGTACTGACATTCTTCTCCCCAGGGACAGAGCTGCCCAGCCCGCCATCTGTGTGGTTTGAAGCAGAATTTTTCCACCACATCCTCCACTGGAGACCCATCCCAAATCAGTCTGAAAGTACCTGCTATGAAGTGGCACTCCTGAGGTGAGGAAAGGGGAAGAGGGAAGAGGAGGGAAGAGTGAATCCCTGCCTAGTCCCACACTCCCCTAGTATGGGAAGATACCTGCCTTGTTAATGAAGTGAGTGCCTGAGGGCCCCTGACTCAAAGCCAGCAGATGGCAAGTACTGATTGAGACTCCTGTGTTGAGCAATATGCGGGAGCTCTGGGTGAAAAGGCCAGAGCCTTTGCTCACTCCAGAGTAAGAAAAGCCTTTGCACCAAGGCTTTTCTTTTTTTTCTTTTGTTTTGTTTTAAGACAGCTTCTCGCTCTGTCCCCCAGGCTGGGGTGCAGTGGTGCAATCTCAGCTCACTGCAGCCTCTGCCTCCTGGGTTCAAGCAATTCTCCCACTTCAGCATCCCTAGTAGCTGGGATTACAGGAGCCTACCACCATGCCTGGCTAATGTTTGCATTTTTAGTAGAGACGGCATTTCACCATGTTGGCCAGGCTGGTCTCAAACTCCTGACCTCAGGGGATCCGCCCACCTCAGCCTCCCAAAGTGCTGGGATTATAGACATGAGCCACCACCTCTGGCCTCCAAGGCTTTTCTGTCTTACTGGAAAAGCAGGAGAAGCATCCACAGTATAGCCAGACAACAGGGGAACCCTAATGACTGCAAACACAATGAGAAGGGAGAGACTGGGCTGTGCTGTAGGAGCTAGCAAGGCTTTCTGGAAGAGCTGGGACTACTCGTATTCCTGTCTAAAAATCTTCTAGACCACATGGAAATTGGTACAGGGTCCCAGGACCAAGGGAGACCCCTCACAATGAGCTGCCGTGGACTAGAGGATATAGCCTGAGGGCTTTCCCAGTTTCTCCCACTGTGGGAGCTCTCTTCCTGGCCTCTTGCGTCTCCCTTAAAGGAGGTAGGATTGAGCACAAGCTCCTTTCCAGTGCCTAACCTCGTATCTCTTCAGGTATGGAATAGGGCCCTGGAACTCCATCTCCAACTGTAGCCAGGCCCTGTCCTATGACCTCACCGCGGTGACCTTGGACCTGTACCGCAGCAATGGCTACCGGGCCAGAGTGCGTGCTGTGGACGGCAGCCGGCACTCCAACTGGACCGTCACCAACACCCGCTTCTCTTTGGATGAAGGTGCTTTTCCTCCCTTGACTCAGAACATGTCTCTGAAGTCCCTTCCAGCCAGGAACTCTAGTCTAGAGCTTTTCTGTCTATTACCATAGCTTACCACGTCAGCCAGGCTCCCTGACTGGAGAACTAGTTGCCCAAACAGGGCAGGACTTTGGAGAACGTTAGATAAAATGGAGCCCAAGTTGTTTAAGATTTAAAAGGGAACTGGAGTTTTTTATCCTACAGAAGAGAGGTCTTGGGGTGGATTGGGGCAGCTGAGTCACCAGGTGCAGGCCTGTGAACTTGTTTTTTGAGGGAGGGTTCAGGGAGAGGATGCGAATCCATGAACACTCAGCATAGGGCAGCAAGCAGTAGGCAGAATTCGGGTGAGCCACCCGCTTCTTTAGGGGTGAACACCCAGGGGTCATCCCTTTGAAATGGGAAGTGCTACTAAAGAGAAGTTACGGATCCCTTTCTGGAGAGGTAAGAAGAAAGGATAAGCCCCCAACTCAATGGGATTTTGCATCCCACCAGTTGGGATTAAGAAAGTTTTGTGTGCACAGAGACCTTGCTGTAGGATTCAGAGTTAGAGCCGATGGTCTGGGAGGTCATTGGCTCCCCAGTGCCTGCTCACCGGGCACTGCTCAGCTGGTGCAGAAACATTTCCCAGCAAGGGTGTTTCAAATACCTATTTCCAGGGCCCAGGCTCGGAAATCCAAGCTAACTGTGTCTTGAATGGGCCCAGGGCATCTGTATTTTTTTTTTTTTAAATGTTTGGTTCTTCTTTGTATTCTGATTTGAGCAAGGCAATTATAAAAAGACGTTTTTGAGGAACTGGCCATATTTGTATATGAAATGGTTTTTAGGGCATATTACTAGGTATTTGTTTGTTATAGGTGATAACAGCATGGTAGTTATATTTACAAAGGTGTGATACGTGAGAGATACATACTTAAGTAATTAAGAATTAACTAATACAGTGCTTGGGATTTTCTTTAAAATGCTAAAGTAAATTTCATGTGGGGATATTGATGACCCTCCCCCACCAGCAATTACGTTAAAATTGGCCTAGCATTTGCAATTACTAAAGCTGGGACTTTGGAAATCATTATATTCTCTTCTACTTTTGTGTCTGTCCGATATTTCTACATAAAAATGTAATCAATGCAATTTATCACATTAACTATTCAGAAAAGAAAACGACATTTAAAGAGAAACTCAGCAAAGTTAAAGTAGAAAGAAAATGTCCTAACCTGTAGAAAGGTATCTATCTACACACACCTACCGTAAATATTATGCTTAACAGTAAAGTGTTGGGCTGGGCACGGTGACTCACGCCTGTAATCCCAGCACTTTGGGAGGCCGAGGTGGGCAGATCACCTGCGGTCAGGAGTTCAAGACCAGTCTGGCTGACAAGGTGAAACCCCATCTCTACTAAAAATACAAAAATGAACAGGGCCTGGTGGCATGCACCTGTAGTCTCAGCTACTCAGGGAGGCTGAGGCAGGAGAGGCTGCAGTGAGCCAAGATCAAGCCATTGCTCTCCAGTCTGGGCAACAGAGGGAGACTCTGTCTCAAAAAAACAAACAAATAAACAAAAACAAAACAG